AGAGTACTATGTAGCAATGGCACCCTTGATACTTGCCTTGCCTAGGTGTTCCATTCGTCCTGAGGCTTCATCTAGGGGAAACCGTCTAAAGGAAGTGAGACTTTTATCATCTCTCCGGTCAGTCTTTGCACAGACAAGGCATTTTCTGCACGATCTGGAGTGGAATTCAGTATGTGCTGGTCGCTGCTGTTGGTGCAGCTTGCAGTCCTGTGAGGGTGATGGAGGATGTACGCTGGGGCCCCAGGGCAGCTGCATACATCCAGGGAAAGGACAAAGGCCGTGAAGGCAGAGACCTTGGTTTTAACCAAGGTTTTTTAACCCTAGTTAGACCCCTCACCAGCTGTGTGACTCTGGGCAGGTCCTTGACCTCTCTAAGCTATGGTTTCATCCTCTGTAAATTGCAGATGATAGTATCCGCCATTACGGCCGAAAAATGCTTGGTACATCGTAACTAGAGCCTTGAAGTGTTAGCTGCTTTTGGAAGTAACTATTAGAATAAGAAACACACCATGAAGGAGACATTATAATGCACGGGAAGTACAGTGTGCTCCTCACAGCGTGAAGAAGAGGAGGAGGGCATGTGGGAAGGTATAGAAGATGTTTTCTGAGCCGTCCCCCACTTTGAGTAGGTTGGAGGGAGGGATTCAGGCTCTGTACCAGAGGGTGCAGCGTGATCAGGGTTGTGGGGCCGCGGGTACACAGCTGCTCTTGTTACAGTGCTCCCATGTGACTAGCAGAGCTTGCAGTCTGTAAGCCCCAGGACCAGAGTGGTCTCTAGAAGTGTTTGCCCAGTATGATGGATTTCAGTTTTTTAAACTTACTTTTTAGGAAAAGAGTCTTGAACTTTGCCTTTAACCACAGTTACAACCACTCCCTGTGCTGAGACCCATCCTTCTTTGCCAGATGTCTGGACCCTGAAGGCTTTTAGGTTTGCAAACCTTAGACTGTCACTTGAGCAGAGTGTGAAATAGCATGAGGAAAGCATGGGAAACTTGCAGAGGGATTGGATCGTGGAAGGACTTGAATGTCATGCATTGGCATGTTACACCTTTGCAAGTAGTAGGGAGCCAGTGAAGGGTTTTGAGTGGAGTACTGAAGTATTAGGCTTTGTCTGCCAGGATGACCCATATTGGTTCTGGGGAGATCCATTAGGAGGCTTTGGCAGTGGCCTGGTGAAGAAGAATGGAAGACTTGAACTAGACTGGGGCCATGAGCACAGGAAGAAGAGGGTGGTTTGACAGCTGTTAGGGAGGCTGACTTACTGCCAATTGGTAACTGATGAGATGTGAAGTGTTGATTGAGAATAATGGTACCAGTAACAGACGGGGCCTGGAGGTGGGAATAAGTGTGGGCCCAAGAGGCATTTAGTGGTGATATAATGGATTTGAAGTGGGAGGCTGTCTTTCTGCTCAGGCTGCTCAGTAGAGCGGTTGAAAAGTTGGTTCGTAAAAGACTCAGTGTTGTGAGAGATAGTTTTGAACTTTTTTGCAGAGCTTATATGAATAACAATTGTTTTTGACAATCCAGTGACTTAATGTAGTTATTGTCCTGTGGGGGGGCGGGGGTCTCTACTTGGTCCAGGTGCAGGTAGTTCTAGTCCTTGGTGGTTGTCAGTAAACCAAGGCTGTCAGTTGCAGGACTGGGTGGTAAGTACACAGGGAGAAATATTAGCGTGAACTAGTGAGAACTGAGGTGGGAGCATCTTGGGCTTATTCAGAAGTTGCATGAAAAACTGGGTTGTGGGGCAGGTGGCTGGAAGGCTTGCCTCGCTTGGCATTGGCTGGATCGACAACAAACCCAGACTTGCACACACACTTCGCCCAGACTGGGATTTGGCAAACCTGCTGCATGGTGGGTGGGAGGCCTGGCTCAGCAGCCAGCCTACATGTGCACCTGTGGTGGTTCTCGCAGGTGAACGGTTTTCAGTGTCTCTACCTGCTAGAGAGAATTACTCAGTGAAGAGTTCTTGAATCTCTTATGTAAGAGGCCTGGTTCACAGAAAGCTTTTGTAAATTATAAAAAAGATGGCAGTTAATGAGTGATTGAATGATGCTTAAGCCTAGGCTGTTTTAGATCAAAATAATGTTATACTTGTATTTTGTATTGGGCTGGAAGTTTGCTTTTGGGCCCAGTATATGATGAGTGGATAAAATAACAAAATGCTCAAGTTTTAGTACTTAGAATTTTATAGGTTTACAGTTGTATCTTTGCTTATGGCTTCTCAGTTAGGTTTTTTTTTTTTTTTGATGCTGAATCCTAAGGAGCAAGCCTTTATTCATATAACCCTAATTCCATCAAAAATGTGCTGCCAGTAGATCATCCGTTATATAACATAATTTCCATTCTACAGGGTTTTTTTGTTAATGTTAATAATATATTGCACAAGTAGGAGTTATAAAAACTATGTTTCATAATCTTTGTGACTGACTTTATAAGGTGTATTTATAGACAATTCTGATTGAAAAAATTTTAATCTACCTAAGCATTTTGCTTTAGATATATTTAAGGTGAACACATGAACACATTAATAGAATTTGCTCGACTATTTACTTCTCAGTTTGAACGATTTTTTTGTTCTAGTTCAGGATCACAGACCTTCTTGGAACATTTAAAATTGCTCATAAAGGGGTTCCTGGGTGGCTTAGTCGGTGCCTTCAGCTCAGGTCTTGATCTCCTGGGATCGAGCCCCACATCGGGCTCCCTGCTTAGCGGGGGGGCCCGCTTCTCCCTCTCCCTCTGCCGCTCTGCCTACTTGTGATCTCTCTGTGTCTCTCTGTCAAATAAAATCTTTTAAAAAAATAAAATTGCTCATAAAGTGTTAAGGCCTTTGATTAGAAATTTAAAATCATGCCTTGAATTTTGTGCCCACTTGAAGATGCCACTGAAACTGGAGTTTATTTCTGATGGCTGGTCTTGCGTCAGCCTAAGTCAGGCTCCCTTTAGGGTTTTTGTTTGTGGTTTCGTGAGCTACAGCTTTAACACAGGCAGGTGGATTCAGGATGTCAGTTCAAGCCCCGTTGGGGCCGAATGCCTTGAATTTACATGGTATCTGTTTAAAACAATTTCAGAATTTTCCTCAGGTAAACTCTGTGGTGGTTAGTTTCTCAAGATCCCTTCCTTGCTCTGCCACCTCCCTCTTGCTCATCTTCATTCTCTGAGGATTTGAAAGGGGGGGGGGGTGTGTTTCTGTATTTCTCTCTGTGTTTCTCTTTGTAGAAACACAGTTTCTTTGTTCCAAGAAGAACCCTGTTTTCTACTTATAGTGTTCTGTTCCGAAACTCCATGCTCTGCTCCAAAATTGCCTGTCACCTGCGAGACGGCAGAACAAAGCAGGCAGCAAAGCTGTCCTTTGGGGATGGAGAACATTGTGAATCTTCGGCAAACAGATCCCAGGATGGCTTGATCTTTTCCACATGGGTTAGTGTAACCCGGGGAACGTACTTGAGTTATGGTAACAGCAGCTTTACCATCAAATTCTCCTCAGGGTATAGCTTTTGAGAGGAAAAAGCCTCTTAAAATGGAGAGCTTTTATGGCTTTTATTACTAGTTTAATCTGTGTTGTTAAAGGAAATACCTAATCAGATACTGACAATATAGACTGTCTGTCTAAATAGGAATATTTTCCTGTAAGCCCATGACAGCCTAACATTTTCTCAGATTGACATTCTGTGACAAATGCGGCATCGGGCCCAGACATTTTTCAATGTTAGATTGCATCCTTTATTGTTTTAATTAACCTCAGGGCAGAAGAATAATGCTAAAAAAAAAAGGGGGTATTCTTTCAAATCAACATGGCAGCAGTTGAAAACATATTGGAAAACAGCTAATATAAAAAAAAGACGTTGCTGGGGCGCCTGGGTGGCTCAGTTGGTTAAGCGACTGCCTTCGGCTCAGGTCATGATCCTGGAGTCCCTGGATCGAGTCCCGCATCGGGCTCCCTGCTCGGCAGGGAGTCTGCTTCTCCCTCTGACCCTCCCTCCTCTCATGTGCTTGCTCTCTCTCATTCTCTCTTTCTCAAATAAATAAATAAAATCTTTAAAAAAAAAAAAAAGACTTTGCAAAGGGTTTAAAGGTTTTAAAACTAAAGTTCATTTTTCTAAAACCAGTGGATACCATTTAAGCTTAGTGTCCATAAACTGTTTTAGGGCAAGGATAATATCTTCACTAGAGAAGTCACCTATGTCTAAGGCAGGACCTACAGATAGAAGACACACAGGTAATGTTTACAGAATAAAAATGTTAGGTGGAGATGCGCACGCTTTGCTGTTTTTTTCCTCATGAGTGATATTTGTCCTGTCCCTCATGAGTGATATTTGTGTCTGAAATGGCAGGGGCTCTTCTTGTTCTCTGTCCATTTCTCTTATGTCTTTTAATTACTGCTTGATCTTGCAGAACCTGAGTTTTAAGGAGCGAGCTAAAAACAGACTTGTCACTGTAAGCACCTCCTCACATCTGCTTTTTTTCTGGGTCCCTGCAAGGTTGACCAGCTTTTTTTTGGAGTTGCATATCAGAAACAGTTGGCGGAAAACCAGCATCTGTTTAGTCAACATTTCCATTGTTAAAAGACTATGTCAGATTTTAAACTTTTTTTTTTTTTTAACCAAGAATGTGCTTGCTTACAGAGCAGTGGGATTGTGTCCAGTGTGGAGAGGGTTCGGTGCAGCCATGTGGAGGTTGCTCAGGGCTGGCTAATCAGACCATATGCAGGGTTTACAAAAAGACATCGCATCCTCCAGGCAAGCACGCATGGATTACTGAAACGTGTTTGGTCATGTGACTTTTTAAACGCCAGGCATGCACTGGACACTAGAGGAGTCTGAAGATGATTCCTCTTAGGTTTGCTCAGGATCCGGTGGGAGAACGCTGGCTTGGGGTTCAGAACAGGATGTGGGTCCCAGACTCTGCCACCTTCCAGCTGAATTATCTTGGACACCTCTTTTGTCACATAGAAAAAGGGGGTGATCATGCCTGCCTAATGCATATGAAGAACGTGGTACACCATGCTGCCTGAAGAAATGGTTTTGAAGGTAAAATTAGGGAGCAGTGTCCTCTTAGATATGTACATACAACTGTGTGTGTTTCATTGTTTTTAATACCCTTTACTTAATCTCCCCTTGATTTTGAAAATATTGGACCCTGTTGCTATCATTCTACCCAACCCCTGCTGTGGATCAACCCAACCTCCCAGTTGAGAATGTTAGAAATAAAGCATAGTTCTTAATGAGAACCCCAGTAGTCATACGTCTGATGGATTTCCTTTATTCCCTTTTGGTTTTGATGGTTGGAGTACATTTTTAAAAAGCTTTTCAATGACACCATAACTTTATCTTTTAACTGCATAAATAAGAGGCCTCCCCCCTTGGTTTTTAGGAAAGATGTAGGAGGTGTGATGTATGTTCTTATTATAGAAAGATAATTAATTGTACTGATTTTTGCCAAAGGATGCTTATTTGTATATTGGGAAATAGTATTCAGAATAATTTAAGTATGTTTTCTGATTGTGACATCTTTACACACATTATATAAATCTGAGTAATTCATTTAGTAAAAACTGACTGTAAAATTTCTATTTTTAATTTAATTTTTATCATGGTATAAAATTTGAAGAGTACCAAAAGGGTGTGTGCGTGTGTGTGTATATTGAAAAGCAAGTTTCCTTCTTTACCTCATTCCCTAGCCTCCCAATTCCTCCCTACAGAGGCAACCACTTACATGTTTTTAAAAACAGAAATCTGGGTCTACTCATGATTTGATGCTCAGGTGTATCTGCCGTGTCATTTTCAGCCTTTTGGCTCAGGCCAGGTGCCTGTGTGCGTGTGCTATAATTTCTGGTTGTAAGTTAGAGGAACCTAGGGGCAGGTTCCTCATAGGTGTACACTTGGGTATCGGCAGACATGAGGGTTTTAACTTCTGTGATGATACCTCTTACTCAGTGGACCCAGCTTTTGGAGCCCGTGTTTCTCTGGCTTTTGAGTGTCTTGATTTTCACGTCTGTGTTTTTCCCATTTTCCAGTTGCAGCATGAGAAAGCGGAACTAGAACAGCATCTCGAACAGGAGCAGGAATTCCAGGTCAACAAACTGATGAAGAAAATTAAAAAACTGGAGAATGATACCATTTCTAAGCAGCTTACATTAGAACAGGTAAAAATGTATATAGTTCTCTCCATATACTTTTTTCTCCTCTTATCAGCTTGTTCTTTCAGGCCTGCAGATACCCTGAGCAATGTAAGTGAAAAATACTTTTCAGCTGTTTCTTCCCACAGTGGAGACTTCATTTCTGAAGTAAACATTGACAGCTGCCTAGCACCTGCTCTCTCTCTCTCACACTTTCTCTTTTTTTTTTTTTTAACTGCAATTAATAAAGTTTCTGGGGATATGTTGTGATGTACTGATTTATAGGCAGGAAATGTTAGGTTCCTTTTACCGAGGGGAAACAATGTGTTTTTAACCACAGGATAGTTTCTGTGAAAGTTCCTGAGACAGTGTGGTTGTGGAGCTAAAACTTTTCTGTCAGGGGTTCTTCAGAACAAACAGTATTTTTCTTCTTTGAATTATTAGCAGTATTATTAGCAATGATTAGCAGTATTATTTGAACCCTATCTTTTCCCAACTCGATTTGTTGATACCGATATGGAGTCATAGACTTGGTTGCTTAACCTGGTTCAGCCACTGACTAGTTGTATGACCTTGCATTGACTTCATTCACTTCTCTGGGCCCAAGTTTTCCATTTGTAAACAGAGGAGGACAAACTAAAATCAGGAATGGCGAGCTTAAACAGGTACAGAAGATGGAAAGTAATAGGGTATTGTCCCTTTGTCCATTGCCCTTGGCAGACATTGGTATTTGAGCACAGGCCTTGCCTAGGGAGTCCAGACTGGTCCTTATGCTCTTCGACACACAGAACTGTGGACAGCCATTATCAGCCTATCCAAGTTGGTATGTCAGACAGAAGTACTTGTTATCCCTAGCCTCGGTGCTCCCTGATGCCTTCCCCCCAATCTAATGTCCTGGGATTTTACTTTCCCTAAGATAAATTATAAGAAGCTGACCCTAGTGTACTGCGATCTGGTTTCCATGTAAAATTCAGTGTATTGATGAAGATCTTCCAGCTCTTTGTAATTTCAACCCTGATTGCCAATTCGATGGTTTGGCTAAGCCATTCATGCAAAGTTGTCTGATTTATCCTAACTTCAGGGTCTTTCTGTGCGTCTCAGTTCATGTTGACTGGTTCTGAAATCACCCCCAGGGCCGCTCTAGTTTCATTATTGTCCCTGAGAATGAAGTGGTGACGGGAATGTCAGCTTTGAGAGGAAGTCAGGGTTGGAATTAATCTGACATCTGTTTTCTGTGTTATTCTTGAATTTCCCTGTATCATAGGGAGGAATGTCACTGCGTTTTCTAAGACTGTGAATAATGGTCCTAAAAACATTTCTCTATCCCTTCCAGGTAAAAGAAAAAAAAAGTTCCGTTTTCAAAGGTCGGCTATTTTATACATATCCAGAGTAATCTATACTTACCATTTGTCTTCGGAATTCAGATGCAATATCTAAATTTAGAAAACACCTACTACACACAGTTTAAAAACAAATTTTATTCCAAAGTTCACCTGCTAATTCCTAAGATAAGCAGTAACCAGTTCCATTGAAGTTAAAGCTTTGAAGATTCTTGTTTAAGTCCCTGACACACCAAATACTTGTTATTGGTACTTATTAATCAAGAGCTAACCAAGTGACCAAGTGAAATTCTCACAGGGGAGGGTGTTGTGAGAACTTCACTTGGTCACGGCCTTCATGGTGGTGGCTGTCAGGAATTGAAACAGCTTCTCTCTTGCATTTGTTCAGAAGCTGAGGCGACTTTGGAGATGGGGCTATGACCCTCAGGGTTTAGCTGTGGCCACAAGGTGGAGGTAGTGGCCTGGTGTCCTTGAGAGGACGGTTTGATCTTAGAGTCCATGGGGGAGAGAGAATGGATTGCTGCAATCTTAAGACTCTTTGGGGACTTTAGTAACTGAAACCCTTTAAAATGATGTCCAAGGCATACATTCTCACCAACTTAATGACACAGTGCACTTTCAGGGTTATTTCAGACCTCAATAATAAAGAAATGGAGTTCACAATGGAATATATGCACTGCAAAGCCCTATCCTGGAAATAAACCTCAGATCTGGGATATCAAGTTCCTATGTTAATTAAGATGGAGAAATTTAACATCATCATGAAACTTCCCCCCTTTGTTTTGGATATGTCTGGGATGATTAAATGTTGGGGAACTTAATCTGTATTTTGTTCAGCTATAAATAATTTTAGTCAGTGCTTTGGGGGAATGTTTTTTTTTTTCGTCCAGTAAAAATAAATCTCTTCTGTGCTTCCATAAATGTGATCTGATCCTCTCTTGTGATTATCCTCCATATGATACACTGTAGGTCATGGTCTATATTACAGAATATATATCCTATACTGTAGGTCATTATCAAGAGCAAAGGCATGTACTACATTATGTATTATAATGATTTGTCTGTAGTACATGCCTTTGCTCATCTATCTGACAGTAAACCTATTTTTTAAACTGTAAGCTATCTGGAGGCAATTATCCCATGTGTCTTACGGTTTCCTACTGCTTTGTTGGAAGAGTTTAAGTGTAGATTTGGCCAGGTAACTGGAAAGTGGTCATTTGTATTTTGGAAGGAGGTACAGTGCAGTGTTCGGGGCCCGGGCACTGGTTTCCAAAGGAATTGGATGGGAATCTGGTTCCTCTGCTTAATATCCTAGATCACCTTCTTTTTGGCAGTGATGGTGACGGTAGCAGCTTTATTGAGATAAATTCACATACCATAAAAATCCTCCATTTAAAATGTACAATTTATCGACTTTTAGTCTTCAGAGTTGTGCAGCCATAAGCACGATCAATTTTAGAGCATTTTCATCACCTCAAAGAGAAACCCTGTACCCTTCAGCTGTCACTCTGAATTTCCCATTCCCCTGAAGCAGCCACTACTCTACTTCCTGTCTGTATTTGCCCATTCTGGATACTTCATAAAAATGGAATTATATAATATGTCCTCTTTTGCAAGTGGCTCCTTTCACTTAGCATAAGGCTTTTATCCATGTTGTAGCCTATATCAGTACTTGACTACTTTTCCCAACTGAATAATGTTTCACTGCATGGATTTTTATTGGATAAAATAAATGGATATCATATTTTGTGTATCCATTCATCATTTGGTAGACATTTGGGTTGTTTTAACCCTTTGGTTATTATGAATAATGCTGCTGTGAATATTCATGTACAATTTTTTTTTATTTTAAGATTTTATTTATTTTGGAGAGAGAGTGCACTTGAGAGAGCATGGGGGCGGGGGGAGGGACAGAGAAGGAGAGACTTTCAAGCCGACTCCTTGTTGGAGTGCAGAGCCCACTGTGGGGCTTGATCTCACGACCCTGAGGTCATGACCAGAGCTGAAACCAACTGAGCCACGCAGGTCCCCCTCATGTACAATTTTTCATGTGGATATATGTTTTCGTTTTTCTTGGGCACATACCTAGGAGTGCATTTGTTGGATTACATGGTAACTCCGTGTTTACCATTTGGGGGGATTGCTAGCCTGCTTATCTTTGTTTTTCTTTCTTTAAAGATTTACTTATTTATTTTAGAGAGAGTGTGAGCTGGGGGTGGGGGATGGGCAGAAGGAGATGGAGAGAAGCAGACTCCCTGCTGAGTGCGGAGCCCACTGTGGGCCTCAATCCCAAGACCCTGAGACCATGACCTGAGCTGAAATGAGTCAGACACTCAACTGACCGAGCCACCCAGGCGCCCCTGGACTGTTTTTTCAAAGTGGTTGGACCATATTGATTAAAGCCATCTTGGTAAATGTGAAGTGGTACTCATTGTGGTTTTGTATTTCCCTGATGGCTAATGATTTTGAGAATCTTAGGTGCTTCTTGGCCATTTTTATATCTTTCGTAAACATGTCTATTTAAGATCATTTTATTATTGAATTATAAGAGTTCCTTACATATTCTAGATACAATTCCCTTATCAGATATATCGTTTGCAACTCACATGCCAGGAGGCCCTCACTGTAGACTAGGATTAGTCTAGTCAGCATGACTTTAGTGTTGTGATGGGCTTTTTTTTTTTAACTGGTGGTCGCTGCCTGCAGAACCCTTATTTGAAAATTTTTGTTCAAACATGATCATTGTTAGTCTCTTATTTGGTATTCACATTTTCTTAGGTGACAGTAAGAACATTTAAAACTTGGAATGTTCTCTTAGTGTCAGGAAATCTTGACCTTGAATATTTTCTCCCAACCAGGAAGGATTTTTCTTATTTCTCTGGAGAAGGATAACTAGCATCAAGAGGCAGGCAGTACTAGCTTATTTATTAAGTGAAGTTCAAGTCAGCAGCTGTGGAGGGCCCTCTGTGCACTTGGCATGGAACACTGTGGGAAAGGAGAAGACCGTGACCGTAAGCAGGTGGACTAGGTACTTAACCATTGTTAGGAAGTACAACAGGAAAAAATAGAGTGAATTAATGGGGAATTAGTCCTGTAATTCAGCTAACACTCGCATCATGAACAGGGTCACCTGCCACATACCAGATGTCCTTCCTCTGTTCTCCTCTAGCTGGCCCAGCGAGTGTGGCCTTCTCTGTTATTTCTGGAATTTGGGGTGTCTTCTTTTATCTGAGATAATCCCAGCTCCCAAAAGCAGAGACACCCTTGTCTAAAGTTGGATTCAGAATTGGATGGTAATTTCATTCATTAGCCTCCATTTACAAATGATAGTATCTTAGCCCTATCTTAGCATAGGAAAACTCTTCCTTGGGTTCAAATCTTCCTTCCATCTGAAGAACCCGTGTGACATCAGGCAAGCAATTTGAGCTCTTTTGTGAAACAGACATGAATACCTAAATTCGTAGCTTTGTTGAGAGGATTACTCTTGGCATCCTGCCTTTCCTCACACTCCACGCATAGCGAAGTTCTTTCATCCCTCCCCTCAGAATTGTTTCACTGTGGACAAGAGAGAAGTTAACATGGCAACCCAGGACACTAATGTGTTTGTAACCGTACATGTGACGGGGACAAGTTTCCTAAAACAGCGTTTCTTGCGCTTTGCACTGATTTTCTATTGAATTCTGTTTC